AATGCAATCAGCCTCGGAGGCAGTAGGGCTTGGAAAAAAAAACAAACCTTGTGGCGGGGTAGGACACTTGAGCGGTGGAGGGCGCAAATCCTTTGCGCCAAAAAACCGAAACGAGAAGGACCGTTAAAATTCGAAGGACGATGAGCGCTGCGGGGGCGGGCGAAATGTGTGTGTGCGAAGGAGACTCTCTGAGGAGCATGCTGATCGCACGCGGGCTTTTTCGGCCGCATGCATGTGGCCGTAAATGGAGTCCGATGCGTACGGGGAAATCGTACGGTCCTCATGTTCGGGGACGCGCTACAGACAACTAATGGCGGGACAAGCTTACATGCTGAACAGCGAAAGGGAAGTTTCATCCCCCAAAAAAGAAAATAGCTTCATCTCCCAACAACAACAACACAGACGGAAAGGGATGATTCATTCTGGACCTTTGCTCCTGTGGAACGATTTTTTTTAATTTGTTTTTGATAAATATTATTTTTTGACGAAGGCGGGAAGAAGTTGAAATCGACCAGTAGAGGGAGCAAAAACAAAAAGTCCTCCGCCGGAATGGGCCCTCGCGCCACTACTCTCGACATGCACAACCGACAAAAGGATCCTGGCGGTGTATCTTTCCATGTTCTACCGGAAGAGTCGCTCGCGTTTTGCACATTTTTTTATTTTTTTATTTTTTATTTTTTATTTTTTATTTTTTCGAGAGTAGTGGAGCGAGGCGCAATGACACGCATAAATTCGAGAAATGGTCCAAAAACAGAGACAAGTTTTTCCCTTCTGTTTTCCGTCCTGTAAAGCAACGATGAGATTGTAAGCGTTCTGTTTTTCGCTTCTGTTTTTTGGCACTACCAGTCACATGGCTTGGCGCGTCTCTTATTGATTGATTAACAGGTGCTAAGCTTTGTTGTTCTCTTGCTACCCGCGTGACATGACATAACATGGCATGACGTGACGTTACGTGACGTGACGTGACTTGACGTGACGTGACGTGACGTGACGTGACTTGACTTGACGTGTTGATTAGCGAAGAGAAGTTGATGTATATACTCCATCTTCTTCCACGTCGGCGATAATAGCCATCCCATCTCCTTCCTCCCCTGCCTCTTCTCCTGCTTCCGTCGACGACAGCCTTTGGTCTGTAAACCCTGACGTCCATCTTTCACAAGTCAGGTACCGTCATACGCAGCAAACAGTTTGACACAGTCGTGCTTTTTTTTGTTTCCGTGGAGTTGTGCATAGTGAACACGACAAGACACATGCACATGATCTCACGTATCGTATCCATCGTTTTCATCATCTTCTGCGGGTCTTCTGGTGAAGCCTCAAGTCCTCCCGATCTAATTTTAACGTATTTGGGCGGGAGGGAAGTGGAAAAGTGACGTGTTTACGTGTCTTGCCAGTCGTGTTGTGGCGGGAGAAAAGTCGAAGCTAGCGTGTTGCCACTCGTTTTTGGCGGGGAAACATGGCGTGCTAATCGTATTTGCGCGGGAAAAAAGTGGAAGCCGCGTGTTTGCGTGTCTTGCCAGTCGCGTTGTGGCGGGAGAAAAGTTGATCTGCTCTGGACGGCCCGACGTGAGAGGGATCTCAACAGACGAAGGAAAGAGAGCGGAAGGAAGTAAGGAAAGAAGAAAGAAAGGAAGACACCTATCTAGCTGAGTGTGCACACTCCTGCGTGAGGCAGACGTTCATGTCCACAGAATAGCAGACACAGAAACGAAGAGACTGAGGTGTACACAACACAAACACCCGTACGCATGCACACACAGATAGATTGAGAGAGAGAGAGAGAGAGAGAGAGAGAGAGAGAGAGAGAGAGAGAGAGAGAGAGAGAGTCCATGGCGTTGGCCGCGGGGTCGAAGGTGGTGGTATTGGGAGTAAGAGGTGCATCGAGCCTTTGCACGCCTGAGGCGTGTCTTCATGTCGGCGATGGTGATATTCATAGTAGCGACCGTCATCTTGGAGCTGTCGGGATCGGAGCAGTAGGAGCAGTAGGAGCAAGAGGAGGAAGGGAAGGAGGAGGGAGAGGAGGAGGGAGAGGTGCGGAGAGCTTGGCGGCTAATACCATTGGATTCGGTGCTGAGTTGCGGCCCCAGCGAGGCCCATCGACAAACTCATGCACGTCTCCAATCAACGAGCGACGGGACCCATTTCCCAGGCGTAGCTTGGCAGCATCTTTAGATGCCTGCCTTTCTCCTTGTCAATCTTCGTCCTCATCAGGATCTTCAGTCTCGATCCCATCTTCGTTCTGCTCGTTACCATCATCATCGTCTGCAGACAGCGTGGCGACAACCGCGGCAGCTCTTCCCCCGTTGTCGGGATCGGGACTGCTACCTTTGCGCCGGCATCGCGGACATCGCCGGAAAGTTTTCACGCGCGATGGAAGCGACTTGGTGGAGGTAAGGTCGCGACTGTCCTCGTCGGGCGACGAGGTCGTTGGATCGTCGTCGGAACCAACAACTTCCTTCTCCACTACCACCCCCTCCTCCTCGCGTTCCTCTACGGCAATCTTCAACAACAAGTACGACTCTTCTTCGGTGTTCGTCGCTGAGGGGTCCTTGTCGTCTGCCTCCTCTTCGACGGACGGCAATGGGATCGCGGCTGGGATTGGCACCGGGACCGGGCTTTCGCTCGAGTCTCGCGGCGGCAGCAGCAGCAGCAGCAGCAGCTGGATGGGCGGCGCAGGAGCCGGCGACGCGGGCTTTTTCCCGCGCTTTCGCACGCTGAAATCGTACGGCTCTCGCGCGAGTGGTTTGCAGGCGTTCGTGACTGCAATCAGGAAGGCGGGAGCTGACTCCGGCATATCCATTATCGAGCTTTTGGCGGCAAATGTGGAAGCGGCGGCCCAGGTGCAGAAATTCGAGACTATCTCTGGAAGGGCAGCTATGATCTGTCTCCTGACCGCCGTCGGATTGGAGGTGTTTACAGGCGATAGTGTGTTCACAGGCGTCGATGGCCACACATTGGCGGGAGTAGGGATGTTGTCCTTCCTGGCGTGCGTGTCGGCGACCTCCTTCGCTCTCCTGCTGAGAGCCAAGAATCATGCAGCGGCGATCTTGGCGCTGGGATGCAAGAATCTCGTCGATTCCGCTGTCGACAACCTCATCGACGGAATTTTCTTCGACAATATTGAAGACGCGGGGGGTCCCGGCGACTCATCTTCTTCTTCCTCCTCCTCCTCCTCCTCCTCCGCTTCCTGATCCTCCTCCTGGAGTACTTGAGTCAAATATTGTTTATAAGGCCATAAGGCTAAAATGTTTTCCACCCCCCCTTCTCCCTCCCTTACTACTCCTCCTCTTACTCCTTTTACCCCTCTTCCTCCTTCTTACTCCTTTTACCCCTCTTACTCCTCCTCTTACTCCTCTTACTCCTCTTACTCCTCTTCTTACTCCTTTTACCCCTCTTACTCCTCTTCTTACTCTTTTACCCCTCTTTACTCCTCCTCTTACTCCTTTTACCCCTCTTACTCCTCCTCTTACTCCTTGATTAGTCCTCCTTGTATCTTCTTCCTTCTGCTTGTCTCTTCTTCGTCCTCCTCTTTCTGCTTGTCACCTCCCGGTTTGCTCCCGATCTTCTCGTCGTGGATTCTCCTCGTCTTCTTCTCGTCTCTTTGCCCATCTTCTGTCTCCTCCTCCTCCCCCCAAGACGTCGGAGAGCAGGGGCTCTTCAATTTTCGTCTTCCCCCGACCAGAGCGCACCCCGATCACTTACTATGTACATAAGCTATATTTGCGGCGTTGATGCAGTCATCATTTCTTGTTTTTGCCTTCTCCAAAGGACTTCTTCCCGTGCATTCGGTCGTTCCTCACATTTCACTTGTGGACCGTACGTCCGCAAGGCCGCTCGTTGACAGCAGAGCGCCTTTTAGATGCCCCCCCCCCCCCCCCCCCCCCCCCCCCCCCCCCCCTCGTAGATGGCTCCAATCTCTCTCTTCGCGTTTTCTTGCATGTGTACGTGCGTTGTGGAGTTGTCTATATCGAACATGACAGCACACACACACACACACTCGCACACTCACACACACCGACATGCACACACGAGTTGTATCGCGAACACAACAACATACACAGACACACAGACATGCGCACACCCATAGTGTACCACTAATGCGGACTATCTTACGAAATCCACCATTCGGAGCCACTGACTGAGCAGCTTCCCCATGCATGGACCCCCGTTGCAATAGGAGCCATGCAATACACAGCCTACGTGGGTGTGCCATGCAGCCACGTGGGTGTGCCATGCAGCCACGCGGGTGTGCCATGCAGCCACGCGGGTGTGCCATGCAGCCACGTAGGCTGCTGCATGGCACACCCATGTGACTGTTGATAAATAAACCTGAGTTCGAGTCCTGCTGGAATCAGATGTGAATTATAGAAAGAACGCTGAACCGGTCAATCCGATGAGATGATGATAGCGCAAGGGGGCATCGCCCTTTCTTTTTTCAACAACTGATTGTAAAAATAAAGAAGCCGGATAACGGGAACACAGCATGTTAAAAAAAACGCAGCATGTTAAAAAAGGGAGAAAAAAAAAAAAGAGAAAAACACAGCATCCAGAAGACACACCAGGCGCGAGGTCCCAGCGTCAAAGAGCATTGGATTTAACGCCTGAATGTGTACGTGTTTGCGGTGCGGTGCAGAAATTCGCGATTTCATTTGCTCTTCTGCATCTCTCGTAAAACACATCCAAATTCAGGCGCTTTATCCAATCCTCTTTGCGCATATGGGACCTCGGCCCAGGCTCGTTAATGCGCGGCCACTTGAGCTTCGTACTTCTTCTTCTTCGTTTTTTTTTTTTGTTTTTTTTTTTTGCATCGTGGTTCTCAAGCCAATCATCAAGAGCGAAAGGAAAAGGGAAGAAAAAAAGCGGTCTCTTTTTTTTTTTCTTTTTTTTTTTTGTTTTGTTTTGGCGCTAACAATCACCGCGTGGGGTAGTGCGATGCGTTGGAAATGAAACCACTCCCTTCGTGGTGTAGTGCTTTTTTTTTTTTTTTTTTTTTGTGGCTCAACAACTTCGTGGGACCGGTTAGTTTGGTTTGTATAGGCACGGATTTTATTTACTTTTTAATTTCGTACTTTTATATCATTGTATCTTTCTGACACGTGTACACACAGGAAATTTGTAATATGTACAGACGCAGTATTCATGATATGTACAGACACAGTAATTTGTGATACGTGTAGACACAGTATATTCGTGAATGGCGGTATGGGGGGACATCCTTTTCGGGGTAATGTCCAGCCGATATTGGGGGGTGGAGGATATGAAGAGACGAGGTAATTGAACCCTGTACCACCGTCGTCCGACTGTACTTCCAACGAAACTTGTTGAGAGAGAGGAGGAAGAAGGGGAGAGGGGCATCCTTTTCGGGGTAATGTACAGCCGATATTGGGGGGTGGAGGATATGAAGAGACGAGGTAATTGAACCCTGTACCACCGTCGTCCGACTGTACTTCCAACGAAACTTGTTGAGAGAGAGGAGGAAGAAGGGGAGAGGGGGAGGGGKGGGGGGGGGGGGGGCTAGCATTAATTATCATATCCGTCTGCGTTTATTTTTATTATTGCGTCTATCCGTATTATATTCATTTCGATTGGAATTTGAACTCATCATCTATGCGAAGGGGAGATTGGTTGATGCGTACAGGCACACGTCGGGGCGGGAACTGCACGACATTTTTGGCCTCCATCTGAAGGCGTACTCACACTACGACTTTTTCCACTCAGCTCTGGACGTAATTGTGGTCAGATGCACTCACGCTGGAGCCTAATTGCAGTTACATACGTCCATAAAAGTGCTACTAGTGTGAACACACCCTGATTCTGACTGGATTGGAGGTATGGAACCTTTAGTATGATCCCATTCGACGGAGAGTAGTTTCATATTTATAGACACAGCATCGCTGGGATATCGTTTGTTTGTTTGTTTGTTTGTTTATAACAACGGGGGGATATCTAGACAGAGTGTTGTACCGTTTTTTTTTTTGTTTTTTTTTTTTTGTTGTTGTCGTGTTGGACCGCGGTGGAATATAGAGCATATGCACGGCTCTTGCAGCTTCGTGTTTTTTGTTTTTTTTTGGGGGGGGGGGGGGGGGGGGGGCGCGGGGGGCGGAGAGGTCAGTGCACTATATAGCATATGCACAGCTTCTCCAGATCGACAGTTTCAAGAAGCCTCACTTAGGTGACCGAAGACGCCGTGCGTTAGCCCACCAAGCCCACCAAGCCCACACTCACTCACACACACTCACACGTGCACACACACACACACACACACACACACACACACACACACACACACACACACACACGCGCGCACACACACACACAACCATACCATATTTATGTCTCCTCGTATTGTATGTCTGTTGTCCTTTTTGTGCGTTCTCTGTTGTTGTCCTATGCTTCTTTTCGGTGTCTAGGTGAGCACCTTCACGATGTGCCAAATAGTCGGTGTTTGTTTGGTTTTCTGGGTGGAATACGGGCTGTTGTGGTGCCAATTTTAAAACACACACACACACACACACACACACACACACACACACACACACACACACACACACACACACACACACACACACACGCACGCATACAACACACACACACAACACACACACAACACACAACACACACAAGTCTGCAGCAGCAGAACTACCGTCTTCACTCGGATAGAACTCTGCCCGGTGGGGGTTATCGCGGTATCTAGACTGAAAGTTGCTCCAAGTACAGCTATAAATTCCCTGTAGTGACAGTGCATTCTATTTGGGAGAAAGCCGTAGTAATGCTGCAGCATAAGTTGAGCAGCGCCTCAAAAGTTAAAACACGTAGTCTTGAATCTTGTTATCATCCGCAGAGTAGTAGCCTTGCTCAAGGAGCTTTCAATTCAGAGGCCTGTACCCAGACCCCGAAATGTATTATATGTATTATGAATCCCTATGAGCGAATCCGTACCAATACTCTCGTACGAGCTCCGGATTCATTCATGCACAAATATATTTGGCTGGGGTTTCACAGGGCGCAGCGCAGCCTCTAACGCTCTTGGAGTGGCTGGATTTGAACTCATTATGTGTCTGCCATTCAGCGATATGGGCTGGGTAAAAAAAAATTGCAGCTTCAGCTTCAAGTTCTAAGGCAGGCACGTTCTAGAGCGCCTTTTTTTTTTTTTTTTTTTTTTTTTTACAGAGCGCCTTTTTTTGTTCCCCCCCGCCCCCAATAGTTCTACCGTGCTTTGTGAATGACATGAGAAAGCATAGGTAGGTTCTCTAACATAGCACGTTCATGCCCAAAAAGAAAAGGGAAATTGAAATTCTGTTATTAAACTTATTTTCTTTTTTATCTCCGATTCTGTGTTGGGATTCTGATGTGAGTCTCAGCCAAACGTCGTTTGTATTGCAATTCTTCTACACAACATATAATAAAAAAATCCGGTTTTTTTTTTTTTTTTTTTGGGCGCTGGGATTGCCTGGAACCCTGCCCGGAAGCCGGGCGTGTACCCGGACGTAAGTTGGGTGCCCGGGCGCCCGGAAAAAAAACAGCCTAGTTAGGTTATTGCCCAAAAGAAATGGAAATTGAAAAGGCTCGTTGGGCATGTGCACACAGGAAGCTTTTCGACTGAATCTGGATGTAGCTGTGGTGAGATACAGGATACAGCCAGTGAGTATGCCCTTAATTCCCTCCGTCGTCATCCGTGTAGGCCTAGAACCTCACGATCACACATTTACATAGTTGCATGCAAAGCACCTTCAACCTCCCTGATATGAGTCAATGCAAGTTCACCAAAATAGTGCTTATTTTGTGGAGTTGTGTATAGCAAAAAAAAGAGACAGAGACAGAGACAGACAGAGAGAGAGAGAGAGAGAGAGAGAGAGAGAGAGAGAGAGAGAGAGAGAGAGAGAGAGAGAGAGAGAGAGAGAGAGAGAGAGAGA